TTTTTTTTTTTGCCAAGTTTGCCACCAATTGTTTTCATTCCCAAATAATTTTGTGGTTGATGTTTCTCAGGTTTGGACGGAAGTTGCTTCTCAGCTGTTGTTTCCTCCAGCTCGCCATCTCTGGGACTTGCGTGGCATTTGCTCCCAACTTCCTCATTTACTGCGCACTACGCTTCTTGGCAGGATTTTCTACCACAACTATCATAACAAACACTTTTATTCTCAGTAAGTCAATAATTTGGACATTTTATCATCTCCCTGTCTTGAATTGGCCTTGAAGTTGCCCTTTATCTAAAAGAAATATTATGCTCATGTGTTTTCATCCAGTGTCAGAGTGGACAGTGCCCCGATTCCAAGCCATGGAAATATCACTGCTTTTCAGCGGCTTCAGTATTGGACAGATACTCTTGGCAGGGGCAGCTTTTGCCATTCAAGATTGGCGCACACTGCAGTTGACTATAGCTGTACCTGTCTTTGTTTTGTTTGTGTCCAGCAGGTATGGATAAGCTCCACCTGTTTTGCTTTAGTGGAGGCTGTGATAAGAACAGGCACAAGAATCAGGACACTTGGATTTCTTTGGTCTCTGACTTGGTCCTGAGTCATGGTCCCCTATCTGTGCTCACTATACCACTTGAGAAACAAAAGAAGGAGTAGAATGACCCTCTATCTGTGGAGTGAGGGATTTTCACTAGTCATGGTTGTATCCCCTTTTCCTGTACAGTTAACATAGAATTATGATTGTTATTTTTCTTAGTAGAAAAATGCCATTTGCCATTGTAATTCATACATAAAATATTATTTCTTTAATGGTGGAAAGCATTGATGGAGATGTTTTGAGTGCTAGTGGTTATCACATTCGCCTCACATGTGAAAGGTCCCCAGTTCGAAACCAGGCGGGAACAGACTTTGGGAGCTCTGGTGGTGTAGTGCCTAAGGCATTTGACTGCTAACCAGAAGGCTGGAGGTTCAAACGCACCAGCCACTCCTCAGAAGGAAGATGGGGCAATCTACTTCCGTAGTGATACTGCCTCGGAAACTCAAGGAGGGTTCACTATGAGTCAGATCTGACTCAATGGCAGTGAATAATCTTTCTGCATGAGATTGGATAAAAAAAGCAAGAGAAAAAACTATCTCCGTAACTCTGTGAGATAAGAGGTACGTGTTTTCTCCAATATGAAGACTTCACAGAAAGACTGGATGATTTTCATCATTTAGTTATCATTCCCTCTTTCCTTTAATTACTTTAATAAATATTTAATGATGGATACTACATTCCCGCCCTTAAGAAAATAATTCAAATGGACGATGCAGATGTCATTAGAAATGTCTCTTCGACAGATATGATTACAGATTTAGTACAATGAAATGAGTTCCATAAGGGATAAGGATGTAATCCGTATCAGGCTCATCCATTATTCCATTTTATCCTCCTAACAATCCTACAGGGTTCAACTACCGTATCCATTTTCCAATTGGTCAATCTTCAGAATGACATAGGTTAAATAAGTTGCTCATGTAACAAGTTTTCCGCATAGCTGGTAGGACCTAAGTTGCAGTTTGTAGGGCCAAAGTGTACCGAATTTGGAGGCCTTTGTTTAAAGAAAAGGTCTCATATTACCAATACAAATTTGCTAGGGCCTCTCCTAGGGCTTTGGAAGGAGACTGTACGAACTCTGCAGTCCAGTTCATGAGGGTCTTACCCTGTCTGAGGGTAAGCGGTAGGGACAATCGAACTGTAAGTACACAGCTTGCATTACCAACCATGCCCCATGGACCACCTATGTTTTCCTTGCAGATAAGAGCA